CACCCTCCTGTTCATAATAGGAACTTATGGCAGTCTGTCTTGAAATTACGAGTGCCACAGCGTAACCGCATGTCATGTGGCTTTGCTCCCATGATCGTTTGCTCACGAATGTGTCGCGACAGCGACGTGGGTTACATTCTACCGGGCTATGTGAAGCTTGCTATGAAGCACCTGAAACCATCCTTCATGTGTTGCCGATTGTTTCCACTATCAGGCATGTCTGACCTCCTTGCTCACCGGGGAGTGTTGGGATTGATTCTTTAGTGAGTCAATACTTACGGAGTGGATTGGGTGGTGCTTGTCCCAACGGGCCTTGGTGGAGGGCTATGAGTTTCAGTTATGGTTTGCAATTCTTGGAAGAAACATTTGGTTGAGGCGAAATGATCGTATCTTCAAGAATATTGCTTGGAGAACTAATGATTTACTGCACGCACTAGAGCCAATCTTTCTTGGGCTCCATGAATTTATCGCAGAAACAATCCTCTGTGTTTACGAGTGTCGGGTGGAGACCACCTCCGGCTGGTTTCGTAAAGATTAATGTCGACGGATCACGGAATCTAGCATTGGGTCTTTGTACTTGTGGCGGAGTGTTAAGAGACCATAATGAGAGTTCTTGCGGGGCTTTATGTATAAGGTTGGGTATGGTTCAATCCTCATGGCAGAAGCTTGGGGTGCACTTTGGGGATTGAAGTTAGCTTGGGACATGATTTAAAGAAAATCATTGTTGAAAGTGATTGCTGTGATCTAGTTTCGTACAATCCAGTCTGAGATACCTTGTGACCATCCGGACTATGGTGTTCTTGTGGAAATTCAGCGGATGATTGCAAGGGAATGGGAAGTTGATCTGGTTTTCTGTGATAGAGAGACAAATAAGGTTGCTGACGCCTTGGCCGCTGAGCTTGGACCATGTTGACTATTTCCATGTTCTTTCCTCTCCTCCTGACAGAGTGGTTGCCTTACTGAAGATGGATGCAGCGTTTCATTTGCATAATGTTGCCCCTGTTAGTTAGTTTTCTGACTGTAACCTTGTTTATCAAAAAAAAAAGTACACTTTTTAAAAAATTAAGCATTAAATTAAAATTTTATATAAAATTAGAGAACCAAAAGTGCAATTTTTGCCGTATTATATACATTGCCCAAACAGATAACGAGCATACATTTTTTAAATATTGAGATCCATATATATACAAGCACATTGGGATCCATTTTTCAAACTGTTTCTTACTAAATTATTCCTGAGGGATCGTAGCCTTGCAACTTGCACATTATAAAAGATGATGCCGTTGACATGCAAGGATATAGCGGTGGCATATGGTGTTTTTTGGGAAGAGGGTATTGACTTCCAGGTTTCCATCCTGAACCGATCAGCTTATGCATGGTGCAGTACTTAGGGGACACACCGATGAATTCTCCATTACGGTGGTGTGTGGTAAGCCTCTGTTTGGGTATCATCAGAAGCTCTGGGATTCTCTTCGAATGATTGGGCCAAGCATCTGGATGCCTTGGTGTGTGATAAGGGACTTCAATGCTACCTTAATTACGAGCTGGTGAACACTTGTCTAAGGCTGTTAAAGGAGTCATGGCGACCCTTTCTTTAGAAATGGGTTATGGACTATAAGTTCGAGGATCTTGACTTTTATGGTCCCTCCTTTACTTGGAATAACCAAAGTTGCTTTGGCCATATTGATAGAGGGGTGGTGAATAAAGCATGGTTGGACAAGTGTAAAGATGCTAAAGTCTTTCATCTGCCCAAATACAAATCGGATCACAGTCCGTTGTTATTGAAGGCATATGATACGAACAGGGAAACGCGACGGCAAGAAAGGCCCTTTTGCTTTTTCACTCCTTAGGTGACTCATGAGAGCTTTCATGACTTCGTTAAGAGCTCTTGGGATAACAGTTTGAGTTGGAACTCTACGGTGGAGGCCTTTACAGACTGTGTTGTTTCTTTGGAGCAAAGAGGTCTTTGGGCACGTTGGATACCTAAAAACAAATTTTGCACAGGAAGTTACAACACTTGGAACAAGGTCTGAGTTTGAAACCGGGTCGTGTTGACCTTTTACAGGAGAGAGGAGGTTGGAGGAATCTGGAGGTTTATTGTTGCAGGAAGAGGTCATGTGGCTACAGAAATCAAGGTGCAACTGGTACTCTTTCAGTGACAAAAATGCAAAGTATTTTCACTGCATAGCTAACAGTAAGGGGAAAAGAAACAGCATTGAAGCTCTTAAGCTTGAGGATGGAGAGTGGTCGTATGACTATGAAGAAATTATGAAGTCAGGAACTCAATTCTTTAAAAACTTGCATAAAACTGAGGGGGATCAAAATGTGAAGGTCGTTTTTGACACACACTTTCCGACACTTGATGCAGACTCGCTTAGTAGACTAAATGAACAGGTTTCTTTAGAGGAAATTAAGAGAGCGTTGTTTGATATGGGGCCTCTAAAAGCACTGGGTCCAGACGGTCTTAACCCACTCTTTTACCAGAGTCAGTGCGAGACTGTGGGTCAGTCAGCGGTACAAATGGTTGCTTCAGTTATGGAGCTGCCGGAGACTATTAGCTCAATAAATAAGATTGATATTGTTGTTATTCCCAGGTGGAGACGCCCGAGACATTTAGGGAGTTTCGTCCAATTAGCCTCTGTGATGTGATCTATAAAGTTATTACTAAAGTTATTACTAATAGACTTAAAGGGATTATACCAAAGATTATCTTTCCTAATTAATGTAGTTTTGTTCTCGGCCGGCAAAGTGTAGATAACATTATTTTGGTTCAAAAATCATACACTCTGACTTGCAAACAGGACAAGAAATGTTTTATAACTCTTAAAATTGATCTTGAAAAAGCTTACGATCGTCTATGGTGGAAATTTCTTTTGGAATGCCTAGAAGAGTTGTCGTTACCATCATGGATGGTTAATCTCATTAGAGAATGCATATCTTTGGCGTCCATGCAATTAGTTTGGAACGGGGAAAAAACTTGCTCGTTAATCATCATACGTTATCTGACAAGGTGACCCACTATCTCCATATCTATTTGTTATTGCAAAGGGGAAATTAGCTCATATGATCCAATCTGAAGTTGCTCATGAAGTTTGGCTCCCCTTCAAATTAAAGAACGATGGAGTAGCAATATCTCATTTATTCTTTACTGATGATTCAATTTTGTTTGCCGAAGCTAGTATGGAGCAAGCGGGGTTGTGAAGGTATGCCACGATGATTTTTTCCATGGTGTCATGTGAGAGGGTTAACGCCGCAAAATCTCTGACCTTCTTTTCGTCTAATGTTAACCGCACCTAGCAAAAAAAGATCATTGTATTTCTGGGCTTCACCCTTACAAGTGACTTGGGAAAGTACATTGGTGTTCCGTTACACCATAAGAGGGTCTCAAGGGGCACTTATCATCACATTCTGGACAAAATGGATAGCAGACTGTCCAATTGGAAGCCTCCTCGTTGTCTCTTGCTGCACGAAATACACTCTTGTCTTTTGTTGTATCGGCCATTCCGTCGTTTGCCATGCAAACCACTCCCCTACCACGTACGGTGTTTAAGGATATCGACAAGAGATGTAGAGCTTTTCTGTGGGGCAGTAATAATCAGGAAGCCTCACCTTGTTGCATGGGATGGCATGTGTAAACACAAAGATGAGGGCGGCCTCAGAATTTGAACGGCTACGAAGCAAAATAATGCTTGTATGATGTTGGGATGAGGCATGATTAGAAGAAGAGATGCTCTCCGAGTTTAAGTTCTTGCGAGAAAAGTACAGCGAGGATGTCGTCCCTAAGATTAAAAAGCGTAGAAGTGAATCACAAGCTTGGAAAAGGATCAGAAATAATTGGGAGAACATGTGAAGGGTTTGGCTTGGAACATAGGCGATGGCTCGTAGGTTAAGTTTTCGAGTGACAGGTGGCTTACTAATCATGAACCGCTGTCTTTAAAGACTTTGGTATATGATATGTTGACACCGTCGGGGGGCTGGTGCTGGGACAGTTTCAAAGATCTTTTGCCTGTGTCTATCTTGAGAGAGGTGGATAAAGTCAGAATAGGCAGTGAAGGTCTTTCTCTTGATATGCCCAAATGGAGGTAGTCCAACAACAGAGAATTCACTCTTCGGACAGCGTATAACAGTCTAAATGACCAGGTAGATCACTCCCAATCTGGGTTATGGCGCAAGGTTTGGAAACTTAAGGTACCACAATGATGTAAGACATTCCTATGGCTTTTTATTAGAGGATGCCTCTTGACTAACTCAGTTCGATGCTTAAGACGTTTCACATTAGATGAAAGGTGCACCTTCTGCGAGAAGGCTTCATCGAGATTTCTTCGACTTCACCAATGTCACTTTTTTGGGTTAAGTGGAATATTTCTCAAACTATGAACCAGATGGAGTTAGATGGGGGATATACTTTGCTGTTGCTTGTCGAAATATTTGGTTCAGCTAGAAACAAAAAGGTCTTTGAGAATGCTATGGAGGTAAGAGTTGTTTTAAAGCGACGGCCCTGGCTTGCTTAGCTTGGACTAACCTGGAAATGAAGTCCCTATAAGGTTTATGTGAGCCTAACCCGAAGTGGCACCCACTGTTGGAGAATTGTATTAAGATTAACATGGATGGAGCCTATAGTGCTGCTATGACTAAAGCGGCTTGTGAAGAGATATGTCGCGATCATACGGGGAAACTATTGCGGGGCTTCATGGTTCATTTAGAGCCTTGTAGCAGTATCTCCATACAGAGCTTTGACCCCTTTTTTTAGGGAAAAAAATATCAATGAAGTCTTCGTTGGGTCCTTCTAACCAATAAAACTTTTGAGCAGAAAATTTTCGTCAATTTTTTTATTAGTTGTCACTACAATATTTTGTACAATAATCTTGCTTTAAGTGGCGTACTCAAGATTTCCACACGCATTTTGAAACCATTTACAACTAATTTATCTCCTAATAACACAAAGCTTTAAAAAGCTAGGTGTATTTTATGAGTAGTATAACAAATTTCTCAAGTCCCTGGCCCCTACATATGCTTGAAAATGATGATCTAGCGAGGAAATTGCTCTGTAAAAGTAAGTTCATTTCTCGATTCTTCAACAGATTGATCTCCAGATGATGACGATGGAATAATCTTAATACTTGGCATGCTTGTCCAATTATAAAAGAATGGTTCTGAAGGAATTGGGATGGTACAGGAGGAGCTACTTAGCAACGTAACAATGGAAGCCATTGATGGCCTATGAGCTGCTGCGTTTTCTTGAAGACATAGTAAACATATTTGGATGCATCTCATCATTTCACTTCTTGAAGATCCTTCTTCTTCAATCAATAATGTTGGATCTGCAATATTTGAATACATTCCTTTACTCCAACTTTTCCAAGCCTGTAAGAATACTTTGTTTAGTTGCAGAACCCAAAAAACAATGAAGAATGATTTTCAAACCTGATTCAAGTACTGATAGAGGGAAATACTTACAGCAGTTCCTATATGCTCTATGTTCTCCCCATTGTGGAATTCACCATTCTTTTGACCACTTACAATTTCTAAAACCAATACTCCGAAACTAAAAACATCTGACTTTGTTGAAAAGATTCCATGTTTTGCATATTCTGGTACCATGTATCCACTACATGTGCATATCAAAAGATGATTAGTATTTAAACTTAATTAATCTAATAATAGCTCTAGCAATAGTATATAATCTAGAATATATAACTTACTAAGTCCCCCAATTGTACTTGTGTTGCTTTGAGTTTGATCGACTGCAAACAACCTTGCCATACCAAAATCTGAGATCTTAGCATTCATGTCTTCATCTAAAAGTATGTTGTTTGGCTTTAAATCACGGTGAATGATCTGTACTCGAGAATCTTGATGGAGATAAAGAAGACCTCGAGAAATGCCTTCTATAATTTTGACACGCTTTTGCCAATTTAACATGCTCTCTTGATTGGATCTGCATTATGTCATGGACAACACATTCCATGATTTAAAGTACTAATCTAGCTATTGAAGTTTAACATGATACTAATATTTTAGAAATTTAACCTCTCCAAATATTAGCTATCATACCAAAAATGAAGTAATCAAGGCTTTTGTTAGGAAGGAACTCATAAACGAGAAGCCTTTCTTCTTTCTTGAGACAAAAACCAACTAGCTTGACTAAATTCCGATGTTGTAGCCTGGCCATTAGCAACACTTCATTCTTAAACTCCACATCACCTTGGCCAGAATTCCTGCTCAACCTTTTTACAGCAATCTCTTGTCCATCATACAACCTACCCTGGAATTATATATTAAAAAAAAAAAGCGCACACAAAACTAGACCATTGAGTTTGAGTAACGCAATGCATGGGAGGAACCTAAATTTATTGTTATTTCTATAAAACAATTTAGTCATATATTCCTTCAATTCTAAATATAAAACCCATTTTATATATAATTTACATTATAAAATAGGTCTTATATTAAAATCGAAATGGTATCTTCAACTATTATCTTACCAAGTAAACGGCTCCAAATCCACCTTGTCCAAGCTTATTTGCATCAGCAAAATCATTTGTTGCCATTCTGATGGTTTCAAAGTCCATTTGCAATGAGTCGGCAGCATCATTAGCTTCAGCTATATAAACATGGATGGTAGTATAGTACAGGGAGTTATGATTAGTTATTAATAACTATATATCAACTACATATGAAAATAAGTTCCTCTAATAACTAATTTGAAAAATGAATAATAATTTTTCGACCTTGAAATTGGACAATAATTATCATTCAATCTTAAAATTCAATATAAAAAAATAAAGTATGTATTTTGAGTTATTTCTGCAGAATATACATACGTTTTTATTTACTTTCAAAGTATATATTTTAATCTAAATTTAATTTTTAACAAAAATAGCATTAATAAAAAAATTGGTGATTTGACTTTTCAATAAAATATAAATAATTAATATATGTAATTTAATGAAATTTTTGGCAACCGTTTATTTAGTTAAGAAGATACATACTTGTATGGAACATTTTCATATGTTTCATGTTATAATATTATAAACATGAGACGTTGACTTGCTTCCAATTTTATTGGGTCGCCTCATTGGTTTTAAATATATTACAAAGATGAAGATGAGTAAGGTGAGTCCTGCGGTGAAGGCAACAACCACGGCAATAACAATCCTTGATGACTTGTTTCTCTTTCCTGCACAAAGGAAAATTTGCACTTGTATTTATGACAAGTTGATCCTGATAAGTTAAATTCAATAAATTTTCCAAAAGGAAATAAAAGAAAAAAAAAGAAATAGCTTTGATATATGCCTTTTAAAAGGGTTAGGATATTTTGAAATGTAAGTCCCCGTGAATTATAAGGGGTAACAACGGTGAATTATGACGGGTAACAAACGCCACTGCACAGGCATATTCTCATTCTCGTTGGAAATCTGTTTGAGATACTATTTAGTATTAGTTGTGAACTTTCTTAAAAATGGGAATTGTAATATTGATTCCCTATGTTATAAGAGCTTGACCTCTTCTGCTAAACTCAACCCTTTTTAATTGAGACAAAATTCTTTTCACAATTTTTTCTTGTTCATAATATAAGAAGTCTTCTAGAAGAAAATTTTAATCCAAAATATAAGATGTTGACAAAGTAATTAATAATAGTTTTTCACTTTTACCTCTTATTACATAGGGGGGAGAGTTTTAAATGCAAGAGAAAGAGGGGAGAATTTTCCAATCACTTTCTTTAATAAAGATAAAATAAATAACTTTTATCAATCGAAAACATATTTAATGACTTTCCTAACTTTTTGTTTTGTGGAGAAAACATAACCAACTTTTTATATTATAGATCGAAGGGAGTATATACAGTCCAAAATTATTTCTCCACAACTAATCCAAACACAAACTCTAGGCAGTAATTTTTCAGTTTTAGAATTATATTTTCTTGATCTAGTTTAATTTTTTTAAAAAAAGCCCTGATCATATAAGTTTACCTTGTTTGGAGCAGGATGAGGCAACGGTGACTGCACAAATGGTTGTGTATTATTGTATGCAGAAGCGTCAAAGAAGCTATCGAGTCTAAATCTAATATAGCAACTGGGTGGGACCACCTGACCACCTCTCTTTCCGTCACAACATTTAGAAATATCAGAGATTTCCCCGCTCAGGCAAATGTCACAATCCTTGTTTGACAAGTCCGGCGTGCACTGTGCAAGACCGTACATGGTTGATTGCCCGGACCACTAACATTCGCCACTGCAAACTTTCGAAACGAGTCTCTAGAAGCAGCCCTTTCTCTCAGATAACTCATCATCTGCATCAACACATTCTTGAACTCGTCTTTCTCCAAAGCGTCGGAGCTGTCTGACGAATTGTAACTCGGTGATGTTTCCATCACACCAAATATCAATCGGTTTGAGTATCTCAGAAAACAGATGTCATACCACCCGATCGCTTCCCTCGCATTAGGTGAACATACTTGGAGAATAATCACCCTCGAGTCTTGGATGCAACTGCGGCAATCTTGTCCACTAATGTCTCCTCGGCATAGTCCGATGACGTAAACTTTGTCGAAGTTGTTGCTGGAGGAGAAGTTGTAGAAACCATAGTCGATTTGTGTGTTGTAAAGACATGTTTAGTAAAAGGCTTCTGAGGTTGGATCGGAAGGAACTATTGCTGTTAGCAGGGCTTTCACCACAGACATACTTCAAGAAGTCTTTGCTGCTGGAGGGCGATAGTGCCATGATGAAATTAGGGTTATTAGGCAAAAAGAGAAAGAAGAGAAAGGAAAACCTAGCATGGTTATTGTACGTGATTTCTCTGTGAGTAGAGATAAAATAAACTAGGTTTCTGTATAATAGTGGCGCACTGAGCAGAGGACTAGAGGATTACTATTCATTTAAATAGGGGTTAGAAACCTAGAATGTACAATGGTGTGACACGTATACAGGACGAACAATGTAACAAATAAAATATACTCACGTCAAGAATAATAAATGGACTCTATAACAATTGGGCTTTGGACTCGTTTTATGTATTGGGCTCTATAGTCTTTGTCTAAACAGGCCCCCTCAAACTAGGGATGGGTTAACTTCGAGATCCCTAGTTTGTCTCTTAAGGCCCAAAATGTGAATGAGACAAAGGTTTAGTGAAGAGATCTGCCACTTGCTCAGAGGAAGGTACATAGCACATAGAGAGTTTGTAAGCAAGAACCCGGTCCCTGACATAATGCACATTCAGCTCTATGTGCTTTGACCGAGTGTGGAAGACTGGATTTGAGGCGAGAGCAGCGGCGCTAAGGTTGTCCACCAGGAAATCGGAGGCTCCCTCAGATGAAGTCCAATTTCTTGCACAAACGCTTGAATCCAAGCCAGCTCCGTCGTGAGATCTACAAGTGCTTTGTATTCGGACTCCGCACTGGATCGAGCGACCACCTTTTGCTTCTTCGCTGACCATGACAATTAGAGAGTCACTGAAGTATACGCAGTAGCCACCCATGGATTGTCAGTCATCAGGACACCAGCCCAGTCGGCGTCGAAAATCCTTGCAAGGTAAGATGATTGCTCGGTTTAATATGTAAAGCCATATCCTTTGTTCCCTTTAGATACCTGAGTACTCGCTTTAAGGCTTGCCAGTGAGTGCTTATGGGTGAACTCAGAATTGACTTAGTTTATTCACTGCGAACATGATATCCGTCTAGTGTTGACAAGATATTATAGAGCTCCAATCAGTTGTCTGTACAGAGTAGGATTTCTAAGTGCGATTCCGTCATCTTTGGTGAGGTGTCGTTCACTACCAGAGTACCATGAGTGTAGGAACCGTGAGGAATTCTGCATGCCACTCTAGTCAGTAAACTTGCAATATACCTTTCTTGTTTGAGATACAGACCAGTATAGTCTCTGTAAGCTTCTATTCCCAGAAAATGATGAAGTCGGCGATGACTTGCGTTCAGGGCAAAGTGTTCGTTCAGGTGCTTGACAAATAGATTAATTAGCTTGCCTGAGTTTCCTGTGACAATAATGTCATCTACATACACGAGCACAAACATCACATTTCTTTCATGCTTCAGGAAGAACAACGAAGAATCACTTTAGAGTGTAAGAAACCCCAGCCAACCAAGATAGATTTAAGTTTCT